GTTTCAGCCCGCTGCCACCATCATCTGGGCTCTATTTTAGTCTCAGCATTACCAAGCAGTACCACCTCAAGCCCCATTCTGTGGCCAGCCATTACAGTCAACCCAGCTGTCCTGCACTCCTCAGGCCTTTCTGTGCCCAGCTGATCTTTACCTTCTTCCTATGTGAAACATCTGCTGGCCATTTCTTCCTGAGTCTACTCATACTGTTCTCCAAATAACATACGTCATTCTCCAAATGGCATGTGCCATTCTCATAATGCTTTAGAAAGCCTTCGGAAAACTTCTGAGGTCTTCCAAAGCATCACAAGAACAGTGCACGATATTTGGGGACCAGTGCAAGTGGACTTGGGAAGAAAGCTTGGCACAGCCAGCCGACTGCTTCACAAAGGGTCAGGCCAGATACTACTTATCAGCAGTGGAAAGAAAACAGTGAAGGTTAGTTGGGTGCAACAGGGCCTGCAGAGCGCAGGATGGCAGAGTGGCTGGGGCTTTGAATTATGGAGTTGGAGAGTGGCTGACTGCAGTGAGAGTTTCAAGTGGCACTTCTTGGCTGAAGTAGTTGCCTAGGCTGGTGGCATCTGGCTGAGATTGTTGAAGGCCCCAGGTATCTACATCAGCCCCAGCAACATCATCAAGAGCGCTGCTGTGCAGGACAGCCAAAAGGGCTGAGATGGAGGGTGGGAGTTGAAGTGCCCCTATAGTCATAAGTGCAAGTGAGCTGCCAAGAGCCAAAATTTTGCTCACAGGACCCTGGAGGCCCTTCAGTGGTCATAAATTTGGGGACTGGCATAAGTATTATTTGTTCAGTGACTTGTAACTTCAAGTGGTCTCTCAGCAAATGGTCATATTGTGAGGATGACTATCTGTATTGTCATTGGAAAGCACCAGATCCTTTCCAAATAATATGATTCCCACACAATCCACTTCAGACTTAGATGGTTTAATATAATGAACACCCCTAAAATGGCCTTGGTTTTAATAGTCAAGCTCAGTTGCTTTCATCCAATGATTTAGATTTTCTTTTAAATTCTTACAAGAAGTAAGTAAGTAAATTAGGAAGGAAGGAAGGAAGGAAGGAAGGAAGGAAGGAAGGAAGGAAGGAAGGAAGGAAGGAAGGAAATTTCCTGTTGTGATTCTGGAGCAAGAACTGACTTGTCTCTTCTTCACTTGCTCAAAACAATTTGGTTTATTTGAGGAGTGCTTAACATAAACTCTGACAGGACCAAGATTAATTCCCTCAGTGTTTGGCAAGAAAAAGATTAAGTATTAGGTGGTGAAGACCGAGGTGGAATATGTGGGATCCAGATATATATTTAATGTTTTTTTGGGGGGGAATCTCCAGGGGCAGGTTTCAACCCTAACCAAAAAAAGAAAACCCCAACACAAGGTAAAAAGGGAGGCATAAAGAGAATTTGTCTTTTGCCACTTACTTCCTGTTCTGTTCTCCACACATGGGAAGCTGGTTAATGACCAGAAATTACACAGCATCAATCTTCACATTTCACAGAGGGATAGAATATGGAAAAATTTCTGTTTCTGTCTTCATGCAAAAACCTGCCAACAGCCCTCAAGGTACCCCAGAGCCTTTAAGTATAAAATAATTGCCAAGCTGTCGTTTTAATGGACTCAGCTAATTCCTTAGTCTTTCTCTTTCCCTGGCCACACAATGCTTCCTTACTCAAAAGGAAGGGTTCTTGTTTGTTTTCATAAGATATTGGCCCATCAAATATTTAACCGTTTTATTAAGGTTGTCCTTACCATTCAGCCAAGCTAATCATGCCATTTTATAAGTATAGTATGAGAAGATTTAATCAACAGCTACAGAAGGCAACCAAATTATTCAGTGTCATTTTGATTAGAGCTATAAATCTCAGATGATATAGGATATTTTGAGTTTTCATCTGCAGAGGGAGAGAGAACTCTGACCCGGGTGGTGGGAAATCTGAAATTAAACAAACAAACACCATTTCCTCCTTCCATTTCTAGGGCTGGTTTTTCTGGCAGCAGGATTTCTGCTTTGGGGATGAACCAAAAGATATATCCTGGGAATCATCTGCTTAGATTCTTTTCCTTCCTGGATTTAACACAGAGGGCAATTTCACACATTAACCAGATGCCTAAGAGACAACATCAGCAAATAGCTCCTGACAGATATTTCAATGGAAGGCTTACAATTTGCAGCCAGATCCATGTTTTCCAGAGATGGGATAGCACTGAGAGGTAGTCCACCATTAAGCCCATTTCAGGAAAAGAACTAAGAGTAGAGTCTATTGACACAGTCCTAGTATCAAATGTGGCCAATATTGTGTAGAATCCTGAAGGAGAGTAAGTACATGAGAAGATCAGCTTCTCTCCTTCAGCCCAACGATAGCAGATGGCTAGGGGAGGGACAGCAAGGAGGAAAGCTGGAGGTAAATGGGCAGAGGTGGAAGCCTGGAGGAGAAGGAGGCATGGCCAAGGGTAGGAGCCTGAAGGTCCCATTCTGACGATAACAGTCCACAAACTTTTTCTGATAGGAAGCAGTTAGAGAAACAACTAATGGTTCCCAGCCTGCCCAAACAAATACACTACTACTAGGCAAGGCAAAAGAACCAAAGAAAATATTCCTCAATTTTATGCTGTCATTCACACGTCAGCAGATGACCTGCATGGGGCAGCAGAATTACAAAGATAGTTGGGTGAAAAGATAAGTTCTGGAATTCACATCAAAACCAAAAGAAACTTTCCTGCTATTTCCCCAACGTCAAATACAAAAAAACAGCTCTGGATGAAGGAAGCATTCTGACCTTCCCATTGGGGAGGAATGAACCAGGCACAAGCTAGATACGTGGCGTGCTGGGAATATATCTCGAACATGCTGTAGAAGGGTGAAAAGCCAGTGGCCTATATGTCTCCTACAACAGAGTTCCCCAACCTTTCCAGCTTTGCAGACCAGTAGGGGGGAGAGGGGGGATGGTTCCACATGAGTGGTGGGCAAGTGTGCGCATGTGCACAACTCCATTTGCCGGTCATGCAAATGGAGAGCATGCACACACGCTCATCCGTTGCTTGTGTAAGTGAGGATGCATGCATGCGCACTTGCCCGCCACTTCTGCAGCCCAGTTCCAAACAGCTCAAGGCCCGGTAGTGGGCTGCTTCCTGGGGGTTGGGGACACCTATTCTACAAAACAGCAGCTTACATCATTTATCACCAGCAGGTTGCATTGCTTTGGCCAGGAACAGCTTCTCTCCAGCAGCACAATAGCATCACAACAGCTCTCAACAGCTCTAATAGAAGGAATTCCACCAGTAGGTACAGTAGAACCTCTGGTCACAGCCATAATTGGTTCCATAACTTTGGTCGCAAACCGATTTGGTTGTGACCCGAACCTAATTTTGAAAATGTGGTGCTTACAAAAAAAAAAAAAAATGGCACAGAAGGGGAAATCAGCTGCAGGGGGGAAAAATGTGAATTCTTTGGTCCGAACCCGATTTGGTCGTAGTCAGATGCGTTCGTGACCAGAGGTTCTACTGTAATTGTAGGGCAGATCCACATATATTTATTAAACATTGTAAGATAAACCAGTGGTGTAATCCTACTGGTTTGCACTGGTTCGGGTGAACCGGTAGTAAACCGGTAGTAAAAAAAACCTACTGGTTTCTCCAAATCGGTATTTCCGATGATCAGCTGTGCCGCGCAATTTAAAATAGCTAAAAAGCAGGAAATCCTGCTTTCTAGTGAATCTAAATTGCACGGCACAGCTGCTCCACCCCCTCTGTGATACTTACCTTCCCAAGCTTCCTTTGGTGCGTACTGCACATGCACGCACAGTGTGCGTTTTGTGTGCACCACAAATGCATGCAGCACATGATTGGTGCACCCGGTGCATGTACGTGCACACAGCGTGCATTTGGTGTGCATGGTGCATGCGTGCATGCAGTGCACACTTGGCGCGCAGCACGCATCTGCAGCCAGCGAACCCGGTTCAGATTTCACCGCTGAGATAAACATGTACAGAAGGTACTGTAATAGCTACTGTTCCAATGTGGGAATACTGCTATAGTTTATCCCATGATACTAACTACTGACTGTGTTTGCTAAATGTTATCTATTGCTCTTCCATTTCCTTCCATTTCTTGTCCACTGTTTTTTTTTTTTTTTGCTTGTTGCAATGAATTATTCAATTCAAAAAGAACTTGGAGTGCATTGAGCTAAAGTCAGTGCACTTATCTGAAAGTGAGAGGATTTCTCAATGGGGTTTGAGAAACTTAAGCTCTGCCTTCCAGTTACCATAGATGGAGTTAACTCTTCCCTCTCAGATCCATCTTTCAGCAACCAAAAAGATACTTCATTTTTCAAACTGCAGCCAGCAATCAGGAGAATCCATAGCCATTTTTTAAAAATATAGAAAAGGGCACGGCTGGTTAGCTTACATTAAACCCCCCCCTAGAAGATATTTGGGGTCATCATGACTTCTCACTTTATTGTGTTTGAGAGTCAGGAAGCAGGAGTTTCCAAATTTTATTTTTTTAAAGTAACAAGTTCTATGGCCAGAAAAAGTTTGGGAAAAAAATCCATGAAGTTACTTGGATAAAAAGGTGTGATAAACATATTATAAATAATAATGTTGAAATTCGTCTTTAAAAATCTGGGTGAGATCAATGTTTCCAGTAATGAAGCTCTTTTTGGCAGAATTGGAAGGTGAATTCAAACTTTGGGGGGGGAGAGCAGAAAACCCTAGTAAAAATTTCTTTTCATGTTGTTGATATTCATTTTCAGGATTAGATGATTCACAGAGCAATTTGTGAATGTCAGAAACAAAGAGTTGCAATCCTATACACACCTGGCTAGGAATAGGGCCCATCAAACATGGTAGAATGTGAGGTCCCTCAGAGGGACATCATGAGATTGCAATCATTGCAGACATCTAGCAAAATCCTCTGAGCTGTCAAAATCCCAGAAGTGAATAACCTAAGCTTCCTTTGGTTTTGTTTTTCTCCCTTTTCCCTTTCCCTTTTAGGAACCCCCAGGTGACAATGGTGGCAGCAGCAGCTGGAGCAGCAGCAAAGTGGCAGAACCCCTCCCACAGACCTGAAATGCCGTCTCTCAGAAGACTAAACTGGCACCGGAACAGGATAGCACCCAAGAGAACTACATCTGTCTCCTTTAATTATCCCGTGTACATATTAGTCAGTGGAAATGCTTTATAATTTCTATAGCTAAGGCCAGCTAAGCTATGGAAAAACCAGGTGTGCATAAACACTCTCCCTGAAGTTAGCCAGGCAAATTAAAATCATGTACACTGTGACGGGGGGAGGGAATGTATTGAATTTCCCCAGAGGGAAAATATATATATATATAGATCATGACTGTTATGATTCATCCATATTGATAACTCTGGAGACTTACCATTTTTGTCTGTCTTGAAGAGGACTTTTCATCAAATGGCATTGAATTGATACGTTTCCATCTTTTGTACTAAGGTGAGAATGTACAAGTTCCAGTATTTGAATTCTGCAAGTACTTTTGTGCCCGTATATCACTGATAAATCCATGTCCTTGCTTCCCCACCCCGCCCAAAAAAACCACTAGTGATGTGTGCATAAGTGCTTGCAGGATCTCATATCCGCATGATACATTCAGACCATGTCCTTAAAAGGACATTTGATCTCAATACATTTAGTCTAGATTTCAAAATCTGCACCGTGGGACAAGGATTAGTCTTGTCTTGTCATTTTACGCTTTTCTCTACTGCTAACTCCTCTGGACTGGAGTTTCTCTGGAATTATATGAATTGTGTTTGCAGCAGTCCTCACTGTTTTGTTCTTAGTTTTGTATTCCATTACAAGGTTTCTTTCCCCTTTTACAAAACTTTAGAAGTCTTGAGATTGTAGAAGATTTAGCCAAAGCTTGAATACCTAAAACACCTGAAACCAAAAAAAATATGATGTATTCAAAGAACAAATCAATATATTAATTTTTAGCTGTTTCATGATGCCTAAGATATACTCTGTGTGAGTTGAGTTGAATCATTTCATCCAGTCCTATATATGTTGGCTTTCTGAGGTCTTATTGGGCTACTAACAATAAGTGGACATGGAAGTACATTCTTTGTTAGACCTTGCCCCCTGCGAAAAATTATAACAGAATAAATCCCTTGTAAGTGAATGAGGTTTATGCAGGTCTAACTGTACATAGCATTACTGCTGTGGAGTTGGCAATACTGTGCCCAGATAGCTTTGAGGTAACAATCATTTTTAATCGCTTTCCTTCCAATTTCCATAATTAGATTCGAAAGGATTTCTGCTAGGATTTTTGTGTTCCTACGACCACCAATGAACTCCAGCAAATAGCACTGCCACCTAAATAGAAGGGAAAAATCTGACTATTGGCTGACTTGGCTGTTCATTTAATAGAGAACAGATTTGGAAAAATCAGAATGGAATCCTTCATGACATGGAAATAAGGAATCAGCCAATCTGCCATTAAAGATGCAAGAATCTAGACTGGTTACAAGATTTTACAGTTCTAATGTTTATATATACACATTTTTTTCCTGCTAAAAGACATACCATGGACCGTACTACTACTACTACTAAATTCCTTCACCACCATTCTTCAAAAAATATGACCTTAAATTCTGAAAGTCATTACAGTAAAACTATGATCCCATGTCACAATCTAAATGTATTTTGAAATTCATTTTCAAAGCAGGATGACATTTTTGAAAGGAAAATACTGTATGTACTACACATTAATTAATTTATCCTTGAAGCAATACATCCATTCTTTAAAATTTGCAGCTATATATTATTTCAATCCATAACAATTTGTCTTCTCTCTCTCTCTCTCTCTCTCTCTCTCTCTCTCTCTCTCTCTCTCTCTCTCTCTCTCTCTCTCTCTCTCTCTTTCTCTCTGTCTCTCTCTGTCTCTCTCTCTCTCACACACACACACACACACATATGATGGTGGGGAACTCTTGACTGTTATGTTGTATACACAGACTAAATTACTTTAGTCAAAAGTGTGTGTTTATGTGTGTGTGTGTGTGTGTGTACACACACACACAGACACAGACAGTTTTGAGTAAAGTAATTTTATTATAAATGAAAAAGGGACAGCCATGCAAGAATACAAAAGAAAAGCAAAAAAACACGGCATAACCTTGCCTATAGCAAGCTGGTGATGGAAATGTAAAATGAGCTGAAAAACTCAGAGCTTGTGCAGGTCAAAGGCAAAGTTAGAGCAGAATAGCCTTGGCCAGCCAGGGCCCTACTAATGTGCTGAGTTACAATTCCCGTTGGCTATGCTGGCAGAGGTGATCAGAGTTGTTGTTTAGCACAGTTGGAGGGTACCTGGCTGTGACACTACTTATAGCTCTTTACTGACTCTCATTCAGTTCATTCCCAATTCTTCCAAACTTTGAATTGTCGGGTCCTTGGGAGCAAAAAAGCTGTTTGTCATGGGGATTATCTGTTAAACAGCCATGCACAAGAATACGGCACTGTATAAAATAATAAATATTAATACATATAATTTAATAGTGTATTTTATAAAATGGGCTTCTGGTGCTAATGAAAAGTGATTTGTGAACGTTTTCCTCCTTATCGTACTAAATCCTCTTGTTTATGACCCAACGTACTGGCTGAACCCTGTTGTAATTTTCCTCTGTATTATTTGTATGACTTCTGTATGCTGCCAATATATTGTCTTGTGATTTTGTTTAATCTTTATACATCGGTTCCTTGTTATAAGTGTCACCATTCTGTGTTGTCTCCATGTAATAGAAAATCATCTATGGCAGAGTAGGTTAACCCAGAGATAGGCAATATGGAGCCTTCTGGGTGTTTTGGATTACAACTCACAAAGTCCTTGCCCTTGACCATGCTACCTGGGGCTGATAAGAATCGAAGTCCTGTACGTTTGGGGATCAACACACTGTCTCCCTTTGGCCTACCCAGGACTGATTGATTAATTAATATGTTACTATTGTTAATTCTACATCAAATCAATCTCAGATTTATAGATATTTTAATCCTCAATATAAACATATAGATTCAGATTTTAAATTGCCCTAACTCTTCCCCTATGTACTTACATAGAACTCTGATTTTCTTTATATGCTAAACTCCTTCAAAACATATCTTCGTTTCCAAAAACATGCTTTTGGTAGCAAGTGTATATTCCATTTTAAGGGCATTAAAAACAAATGTTAAACGAATGCAAGTTGACACACCATGTGTGTTTTTCTACAGGCCTGTCCTGCTTTTACTATAGTAATACATGTTGTACCTAGGAAGGTATAACATGTACCCATTAGTGCATGTTTAAATCTCTTATGCCAAGAAAAGGAGAGTAAAGAGAAGGATCAGTCTGTTTCTAGCTTATGACACGTGGATGGCAGGCTGTGTTGGACTCTGTTCGTCTAGCTCAGGGTCAATCCTTCCAAGTAAAACAGACTGGAAACACAACCAGACAAGCTCATTCTATTTTATTGTAAGGCTACATTAACAAAAAGCATGCAAGTCTGAAAGTACAAATCTGTCACTTTTAACAGTCTGATACATTAGGGCAGATTCTTTTTAACTTGCTTTCTTTGCCCCTTAAGCGGTTGCAGGCTCTTCTCCTTTTTATTTGATCATTGCTTAGGCAGCATCTCTTCCCCTCATCTCTCAAAGTCATTCTTCCAAACATTTCCTTCATAATCCAAAACCACTTATTAAAAAGTGTTATTGAACTCTGAGAACCAGTCATAAGTCCTCTAGCACCATCATAACTTCAAGCAGTCATTGAACAAATGGCCATAATTCGAGGACTACTTGTATCATAAAAATGTCACTGAATGATCTTTAGGTCATTTCAACAACAAATTACCATTGGTAATTTCATCCATTTTCATCTTAATAGGAAAACTTTGGGAGAGTTTCAAATATGTTATGTATGGCAATCTTTAAGTCGATTTACCCTTTTGTGATGGGTAATAGTTTCATGTGCCATTACCCAAAGAAAACCCACTTTTACCCAAAGTGGGGTAATTTATTCAGATTTGGGAAGCACCAGCCTAGTCGTATATGACAGATTTCATCCAGCTAATGCAAATAACAAAGCACAGGCAATTTGGAGCAAACATGGGCAGTCTAAGGCTGCAGACCTTGTGTGTATCTACTCAAATAATTGCTTTTGCAGCCCTTTGAACTTTGTTGGAACACAGCAACCCTAAGATCTGTGGTACCATTTATAGGTATAAAAACCTGTAAAGCAGTTTTCTAAGGCCCTGCCCACTTTGCATCAGCACATTGCCTACTGTGACTTTTGTCTCTTCAAATTAGTTTTGCCAGCAGCCATCCAAAGATTATGTATTTTTAGTCTGGAACATATCTATATGGATGAATTGACTCCCTCACCGCAAGGAATTTGGATGGTATTGTTTTGGACAGAGTGGACAGTATTTGTTTTAGAATGCTTGCTATCCTTACAAAACTACATTTCCCGGGATTCCAAGTTTAGAGCAGGAGGACTGGCATAGTGCAAAATAAATAAAAATATCATTAATTCCTCAACTATTATTAATAGAAATTAGTATTAGTATTATTTGGTAGGAAGAAAAGCCATGACTATTGAATTCTATATGTAGAAATCCCTTTAAGTATGTTTTGCCTTTTTTATTTAGCTCGTGAAACTTTCACAATCCTTCTTCATTGATGTCAAAATGGTATCTCCATTCTCTTTGGAGGCAAGAGATGACCATTTTTCAGTTCCTGAGCAGGAATATACTGCCTCTTCCAAGATTAACAAAGACAGAGAGAAATAATAAGATTAAGCTATATAACATGGGTTTTTGAGTCACACAATATTTTGTGTTCTCCAATGTAAAGCCCTCCAAATAAATTGGATTACAGTTTTCATGGACCATGCTTGCTAAGGATGATGTAGTCCAACACATCTAGATGATGTGTGATTGGGAAGAAGTACAATATTGATGCCACAGAGCTGAAATCAGTAAAGGTCACTAAATGAGATACAAATTTCAAATTGTGCTAGCTCTGCTAAAGAAGTGGCATTGCGATATTTTTTCCATCCTTTCCTTCTATCCTGGATAAACAAACAAGGAAGATAGATACGGCATTAAATATACCTTTGTCACTTTCCTTCTTACTTTGCGAATGGGTGTAACACTTCAGTTACTATTCAGGCTTGAATCGCAGACCTGTTCCTCCAACACTTCTATTAAATCTTATTTTAATACTTCAATATCAAAGTCACTATCTAAAAATATTTTTAAAAAATTAAAATCAACTTCCAGTGACTTCCTGGACACTGGTCTATGTTAATTCCTTGACAATAATGCAAAACTAGATTGCCATTTCTTTCTTCTGAGGTAATTATGTTACCAAAAATAAATAGAGCAATCTTTGGTTGAATGAGTCAAAAGCTGACAAGCTAACATGCTAGTCAAAATATTCCCACAGGAATCAGTTTCACTTCCTGTCCGTTCCCTTTTTGTTGTTCAGTATCTCTGTTGTTTAATATCATTCTTGTTAAAGTTGCGAAAGAATTAAACAAAAACAAAAACATCATTGCCAATATGCAGTACCTTTCATTATTAACACTGTCAGAAAAAAATAACTTATATATATTCTGTAGAACTTATATGATGAGTAGCGGTGGCGCAGTGGTTAAACTGCAATACTGCAGGCTACTTCTACGAACTGCCAGCTGCCTGCAATTTGCAAGTTCAAATCTCACCAGGCACAAGGTTGACTCAGCCTTCCATCCTTCCAAGTTGGGTAAAATGAGGACCCAGACTGTTGGGGGTAATATGCTGACTCTGTAAAACCGTTTAGAGAGGGCTGTAAAGCACTAAGAAGTGGTATATAAATCTAAGTGCTACTGCTATTGCTATGATTTCAATGGATCTACAATCTGGAGAAATGGACCATTGGTGCAAAGCACCTGAGCGATTCAAACATTCACAGAATACATTTAAATTCCACTTATCTTTTCAATGCTCAAGGCAATGTACAGGTAGTCCTCGACTTACAACAGTTCATTTAGTGACTGTTCGAAGTTATCATGGCACTGAAAAAAGTGACTTATTACTGTTTTTTCACACTTAACGACCGTCGCAGCATCCCCATGGTCTCACGATCAAAATTCAGGCGCTTGGCAACCGATTCATATTTTATGATGGTTGCAGCGTTCTGGGATCATGTGATCACCTTTGGTGATCTCCTGACCAGCAAAGTCAATGGGGGAAGCCGGATTCACTTAACAACCGTGTTACTAACTTAACTACTGCAGTGGTTCACTTAACAAGTATAGCAAGAAAGGTTGTGAAATGGAGCAAAACTCACTGAACAAATGTCTCACTTAGCAACAAAAAGTTTGGGCTCAATTGGGGTTGTAAGTCGAGGACTACCTATATGTAGTCATTCTCCCTTAATTTTATCACCATAATAAGGCTGGGTTGAGAGAGTGACTCCCAAAATCCCCAGGGAAGTTTATGGGGAGGGATATTTGAAACGAGCCTCTCAATAACAATTCCCACAATTTAACCACTGTTGAACCCTGGCCACACAATTGACAGGAGACTTGACTAACAGACTCCCACAAAAGAAAGAATTAAAGCAAACATTTGGTTGCACATGGGGTAGGTGCAGTTTACAGACCAGTGGTAGGTTTCAAATATTTTTACTACCGGTTCTGTGGGCGTGGCTTGGTGGGCGTGGCAGGGGAAGGTTACTGCAAAATCCCCATTTCCTCCCGATCAGCTGGGACTTGGGAGGCAGAGAATAGATGGGGGTGGGGCCACTCAAAATTTCCGCTACCGGTTCTCCAGAACTGGTCAGAACCTGCTGAAACCCACCTCTGTTACAGACAGAAAGTAAACTTTTTCTGATCCACCAAATGCTCTGAAACCATTGGAAATTTTACTACATCCGCTGAAGCTTAAGTGACTGGCCTCAGTAATGTCTACACTGGAAGCTGCACATACGAGCTCTTAAGCCTAGAGAAACGTTTGAAAATTGGAAAGATTAAAAAGTTTTAGAAAATGAATTGGTCCGGACATTGCAGACTGGAAAAGCCATCAGATGTTTGACTAGATGGCTGTCTCTTTTTCAGATAGCCAAAAGGCTATCTGAAGCTACAAAAGAGAACAGATGCAAGAAAACTCCTGCAAGATGCCCTGTGACAATGCCCTGCTTCTTCCTGGACTACAAAGAAATAATATACTGTACATAAAACATAATACTTTCCCTGGGAACCAGATTGTTGAATGTGGAAAACATTTAGTCCTCACTATAGGCTGTTCAGCTGCCTGAATACAATCACAGCTGCCTGACTGGTTGTTTTAACATAAGGAAGTCTGAAATTCCTCACTGGCTGTTTTTCTACTAACCTATATACACTCTGCCCAGCAATCTAAAAGAGCAGAAAGAGAGAAATACCTTGACAGTTACTTTTCCTCATCACCTTACCTTAAGCTTTTTGCAAAATCCCAGATATCTCTCTTTCCTTTCAGCTTTTATGTTATTTGCCCCCCCAACCCCCAAAGTTAGCCAGTTATAATTGACTACCTAACAGATAAAAATACTGAAGGAAGTGGTGGGAAGCCAGGGATGAGGAGGGATAGGGGTAGGAAAGCTGTATTGTTAAAATCATGTTGCCTTTCATCAAGGTAACACAACTTCCTTATAAATTAACAGGGTCCCAGACGGCAGGTGGGTGCTGAGATAGAAAAGGCATCCTTCCAAGGTCACATAAAATGATAATGTTTTATTGACGGAACTGGGAGCATCCTGTTGGACCCAATAGGACAAGTAGAAAAAAACAGGGAGAGGCAGTCTTGCACATAACCTTATGAAGAACAATTAAAAGAACTGGGTATGTTTACCTTAAAGAAGAGCAGGTTAAGGGGTTGGATATTTTCTTGTGTACATTAAATGGGCCCATTTAACATGTTTACAAAGATCCAAACTAATCAGTGGAATAGCTTTCCTTATTACAGGTTTTCAAATCATTCTCAAACCTTACTGGAGGTTTTCAAACAAAAGTTGAACAGCTATTCATTTGAGGTGATCTGGGCAGGAATTTGGATTAAAAGATCTCCAAAATCCCTTTGATCAACCAAAGGACTCTCGGAGGCGTAGCCCAAGTTGGGCATAACTATAATAATTTATGGCATAGGACCAGAATGTTGGTAAGGGGAAGGTGATGCTGAGTTCTGGGTTACTCATGAACACATCCATGAATTAATAACAGCTCAGAAATATTTTCCCTTTGCCTTTTCTTGGATACTTTCCAAATTATAACCTGGGTATTCCCTGATGATGTCCCCTCCAACAAGACCTTATTCTGCCATACCAAGAGCAGGTGCTGCCACCTGCTGAGACACAATATTGGTCAAAGTATTATCAAACGTTTAACTATCAATATTTAAGAGCTGGAGAAAAAATGGACAGAAGGAAAAAGACTTGATTTTCTGCTTTCTTCACCAAGCCGCTACCCTGATTTTTATGGCATATCTACTTTTTTATTTACTGAATGTATTTTACTCAACTTATTTAATTTACTGATTCTATAGTAAATTCCTAAGTACAATAGAACCTCTGGTCACGAACGCTTCTGACCACAACCAAATCGGGTTCTGACCAAAAAATTCACTACTTTTTTTTTGTGGCCGATTTCCCCTTTCATGCTTTTTTTTTTTTTTTTTGGTAAACGCCAAATTTCCAAAATTAGGTTCGGGTCACGATCAAATTGGTTTGTGACCAAAGTTATGGAACGAATTATGGTCGTGTCCAGAGGTTCTACTGTATGGTTTGCCAGTTACATGGTAAGCATGAATCATTTCCAGTCATTGGTCTCTCTTTGTGCTAGGGCAGCAATTGCTAAGGTCCAGTTTTGCTGCCCCCTATTATTTTTACTTTGAAGATGTTTAGCTTCTTATCCAAAAAGGTTCTTCAGCTCAGACTGGCAGTGCGGAATGGAAGGATTTATATCCCTTGCAGACAGTTGGTCATTTGCATTCTTTCAGAGAGTTGTTGAGGCCACTTGGAGATTTATTTGTGTGCACAGGGTCACCTGAGTAGTGGAAATGGGTGTGGAGTCTTCTTGGAACTGCTGAAAGGACTGTGTTGTCGAGCTATTGTTGCTGCAGGATGTTTTCTGCCCTGTGTCCCTTCACTCTTGAACACAGGCACAGGTTGTTGGGGATGAGGCTGTGTTGTCTGCATCTCAAACTGAAGTGCAAATGGTTCCTGTAGTCTGCAGTTTTTCTGGAAATCTGTTCATACTCCCACACCATTCAAAGGGAGTTCATCCCAAAGTACATAGCTAAATGTCTATGGAGATTCTCTATATATGGATATATCAAACGTTTTGAACAACAAACTTGGGGTGGAAATAAAATAATAATTTTGCATTGGGAGAAAAAAATTACCATGCCAGGCTTAAAATTCTGAAATGAAGAAAGGTGTTCATCCTCTTGCCTTTAGTTGGCATTCTTTGGGCACAGTAAAAAGGCTGATCCATTAATTCTGGAGTGGGCCAGGATGAATTCATTGTTCTGAGATTGAAATCACTTTGCAGATTTATGATGTATGTGTTTTGGTTTGGTGGGATTTTCTTTTGCATCTTCATTTTTTTTTATTTAGGGTTTTGTTTATCTGCACACACACATGCAGATATATGTATATGTATATGTATATGTGTTGTTTTGCATTAGTTTTTCTTTCTTTGGGGTATATTCTAGTAACAAAACAATTTTAAAATTCCCTCTTTCTACATGCCGCTCTGAATCTAAAGGAGTGGGCTCTGTGTGCCCCTGACTATTTCCATTTCCACCTTTGATTACAATGATTATCTACAACTATCTGTCAACCGAAATTAGATTTCTCCTTTGAGGAAAGGCAGCAAGGGAAATTAACCAGCAAAGTAACTCATGCCTGTGGTGCAATTCATTTACCTAATGGTTGTGTATCTTCCCTGCTTCCTGCCTCTTTGGCCCTGCAGCCTGCTTCTGGCAGGAACGGCCTCTGTCCAGAGGAATCCAGACATGCAGAAAAAGGGAGGTGACCCAATGACCCTCTCATGTGGGCACTTTCTGGTTAAGCTCGTCACTCATACAAATGACGGGAAGAGGCACAGATGCCCCCTTCTTTTTCTATCTCTCCTGTATTTCTTTTTAATCATCTCTTCCATCTCTTTTTTTTTTTAGTGATGATTAGCCAGGAAAGATCTGGGATTTGCAAGTGGTCTTGTAATGTTATGGGGTGGAGAAGAACCAAATTATGAAATAGGGAGGGCAATTAAATGGGTTGGACCTGCCATCCAGTTCAGAACTGATGCAGCCTTTCTAATGCAATCGCTGTCTTGCTTTTGATGGCAAGAAAACAGCAATAGGACACAAATGATGCACCGGTGATTTAAGAATGTGTCAAATATAAATCAAAGTAGAACCAGCTGTATCTCTTTAGGAAGGCATAAGGTGATCAGATTCCATTTTCAACAACACCTTAGTTTGTTCACTGTCACTAGGCTCCACCCCTACCAACAAATTCCTCCCTATTTACCC